TGCAAAATAATTTAAAAAAGAAAATTTAGATAGAAAAAAAATGTGGCAATAGTTGAATGCAATTGAAATCTACTGGGGACTAGAAATGAATTCAAGAGCTTACTTGCCAGCACAGAACCTCCTTATTGCTGCTCTCTTGAAAACTCGGAACCCTCAAGTACTCACTTGGTGAATTGAAATTGCAATGAAAATGAGTTAAATGGGCCATCCGAGTGAAATGTTAGCCACTTGCAGCTAAATTGCCCTTTTTTTTTATATATACGAAAGTTTCTTACTCATGGCAGTCGTAATCTAATCCGCAACACAAGCACAAGTTGATATAATGTGAGTATTAATGAAATTAGACTGCAAAGTCATGTGCACACTCTGAAAGACACCGCATTCACATGAACAACTGTTATGTTGTACTCTCACATGTGTCAAACAATTGTATGCACGTGAATGGTTTTCAAATAGAGCAACATGGCCCAGCCTATTGCATGCCATAATTGTATGAATGCCCTAAGTGATGCAGATGTTAATCACTTAAAAGGTAGCTCATATGCAGTCCCATGAATATGCAGTGCTCCCCATGAATATAGTACATCCCATGAGAAAGAATTTTTCAAATGAGACAAAACAGTGCGTTATTTTCCATCATGGGTCGTACTACCATTTTGATAATGTGCAGGATGTGTTAAATTAACAGAAGTTATTTTGACCATGCGCTCACTAAACATATATTGTAAATGTCTGATGAATGTGCTAACACATTGTGTAAGGGCATTGAAGACCATGCAAGTAGATGCAAGTGCATCGCAGAAGTGAATCAAAAAATATACAAGTGTACTAAGAAATATACAGGCACACCGTGTAAATGTACTAAAAAAATTTCAAATAAATTTTACAAATGCATCAAGGCGTGGCACTGTGCAAATGCATCATAAAAATGCAAATATACTTTACAAATGCACCAAGGCGTGCATGACACATTGAACCATTATAATCAACACAACCGCATATGTTTTGACCAAGCATATCAAATCATTTTTTTTTTTTTAAGCATATCAAATTCTTGAATTTGAGTTATGAGAATGTTGTACAAGCTAAAATAAATGTAAACTGAAATTTGATCTCGCATTGAGAAGCATGCAATCTCACTTATGTGTTATTACTTTGAAAATTTTACCAATTCTTTTTTAAAAAACAAATTTGTCATTTCACGATGCTTTCAAGTGGGTCGCTCTGTTTAAATTATTTCAATTTTAACATAAAGATCTCAAAATTTATAAAATTCAAAATATTTCAATGAAATTTATCTCCCTTAACTTAAAAACAAATATCTATCAATCTTTCACAATTGTTTGCCAAGGGTGACAAATTCAAGAATAATCTCAACTCACATAATCGTTATGATTCATTCGCAAATAATCTTTTGCTGGTAAAGATGTTATAAATGCCTTCTAATTAATAGATTTGATGTAAAATAACTCCATATGTACATAGTTATAACCAGGTCCCTCTGATCGGTTTGTTTTGTCAGCATGAGCCTGCAAGTTCTCTAATTTCTAAGAACCCTCAAGTAACTTTATGTTCCCTTTTTTTCTATACACGTAACAAACTCTCCTTGGTGAATTTTGTGATGGAGAGTCGAATTGAGCTTCAGGACCCAATCTTATGATATCAGATAACTTCGCCTTTGTAGGATACCTCTTATGATTGACTTTCCTCCACTCTGTTGGTAAGTGATCGGACCCCTTCTCTTACCGTAGCCTAAAGCCACCATCTCAATCAATAGGATTATGAGAAGTTGGCCAAGAGAAGTATGCAGCTACGAATCCCACCTAGCGTGAGATAGAGAACTTGCTTTTGACATTTGTTTCACTTTCCTTGACCCATATAGGTGATATACATTCCATTGATTGAGATTAATTCTAATTGTTTAGTTTGAAACAAAGATATCCATCTTAGGATGGGTTCATGATATTATATTTTCATAACCAATTGGCAAGATTCTCCTTGAACTATAAGGGGAATGAAAGTTGAATGCTAATGGTTGTCTGAACTCTGAAGTCTGCTTTGAGGCGAAATAGGAGCTCCAGCATTCCGGGTGGAATCAACTCCTAGATGGAAGATTAGTCCTGAGATCTAGTTCATGTGAGATGGATTTGAATTCATAACCTTTTGAATTGAGTTAAACATATTAATAATAATGCCACTAGTCATTTTTTTCTTTTAATTATATTCTGTGTAAAATGAATAGATAAGATAGAAATTATAAATGTTTTGCATTTAACCTAGGTAACATGGTTTGTTAGAATTGCGTGCTAGTCTATTGCACATTGCAAATTGTGTAATTTCTAACACTTTTATTTTAAAAATTTTGTTATTTTTTTGTACTATGCAATGCCATGGATAACATCATCACCATTAATTGTCATATCCTATGTTGCACGGACATACCTCTTTTTTTTATATAAATATAGGACATGGGTGCGGCGTGGACACGACATGATAAATTTTTTAATATAGTATATATAAGTTAAGGTAACATCATATTAGAAATGACAAACAATAATAAATCAATGTTATGATAACTTATTTAGCTTATAACATAAAATATTTAGTACAAAATGTCTAATACAACCAGAAAAATATAAGCAAAAAATCATTTAGTACAACATAAAGCTCCAACTACTCAGTAGAGGGAATGATAGCATTAGTTTCAGAGGTTTGTCTTTGGCCTTCAATATCATCATCATTGAATATCATTGCTTTCAATTCTGGTTCATCAAGAGAAAGATCTGCAATCTCCAATATTCTCATATCATCAAGAGAAAGAACTACTGACAACTCATTTTCTTTTCATTGATTCATATCCTTCACTCCTAAATAAACTAGCTTGATTAACTCTAACTGATGAGGAAGAAGTGTGGGATGCACCATGTTTAGATGACAAATGTTTCTCTTTAGGAAGTGCCCTTTTGATCTTAGGTTCAGTTTCATCAACCTTTTTGTTCAATTCTATCAACTGCGAAGGTGTAATATTAGGACACATTTTAATTCCATGGCCAACAATCTTAAGTTTATGTGCTTTCACCCTAGAATATGATCAATTATAAATGACACCACAGTAATTGCATTTGAATGATACATTTCCTCCAAAAGTTTTGCCTAACTTTGTAACATGATTCCATAATGGCATATCAATTTCTACACTTGGCTCTTTTGAACCTTCACCTAATCCACTCCCACTTGCTCCAGAGCTCATTTTGCTTTTAAATACACTGGTGAAATGGAAGAAATAAGAAAATTGTTATGAATGGACAAATGAATAATCTCTCAATTATAGGTTATGAGCATTTTCAGTGTGATAGTTTCTCTCAATTATCCATTGACAAATTACTAATAGTAAAGAAAAAGTTACACATACATATGATTGTTCAACAAACATGGAAACATTCAAGGTTTCTTAAAATTTCAGAACATTTCATTTAATAATTTAAAATTATCATCTAAATAATTTAAACTAAATAAAGCAGTAACTAAACCTCAAGCAGAAGCCATGTCTTTTAAAGAACAAGATAAAATAATTGACATTGTTGTTGTTATTATCAATCAAACCAATCTATTTAGGGCGTGGGTAGCCATATAAGCATATAAATTTCATTTCAGCAAATGGTTGACTGAAAAAGGCAAATACCTAAAGAGAAAGTTATGAATAATGTGAGAAATCAGAAACAAATACCTAAAGAAAATATGTACCTCCTCTGCCTTCGATGGTCGCCTGCGCGCAGATGACGAAGACGTCAACTCCTTCCTTCAACGACTCCGCTCAGTTTGGCCTCGCTTGCGCGCAAAGATGACGAACTGACGAAGGATCCTCGGTGGTTTGGCTGCCTCGCAGACGAAGACTAGGGCTTCTCGTGTCGTGAAAAATAGCGGACGATAATACGTGAAAAGGGTTTAGGGGGTATAAATATAAAATATAAAAAATTAATTATTAAATATTAGGACACACGTGCCCGTTTTATTTTTTATTTTTAATTGGGCACGTTAATCACGTATCGGACATGTGTCCCCACCGTGTTGGGCACGTGTCCGTGTCCGACACATGTTTGACACTGCATATCCTCTTTAAGCGGAGTGTCTGTGCAGCATAGGTCATATCTTTGTTTGTTATAAGATTGTGTTGGTGGCTTTACATCCTTTTGTTCTTATTGAATGCAGCTTGTGTATTGGCTCCAGTTCAAAATCCTTTTGTACAACTAGCTAATCTTTATGTTATTTTTTTATTTTTCAACTATTTAAGATTTTATATTTTAACTCCAGTTCCCTCATACATTTTTTCAACTTTCATTCAAAGTTATGATGGTTGAAATTGAAATAATTAAGGGATAAATTTTTGTTCTATTTTATGATATCAATGACTTTAACTACATTAAATCTCAGCTATTCAAAAATTTGAATGAAGGGTATAAGATATGAGAGGGCAAACACTTCTATCCTTCCAAAAGGATTGTAGCCTACTCCTATACACATACATATGTTGAAAAACTAAAAACATACCATTTATATGAGAATTTATTTCTTTCTTACATTAAAATGACAAGTCCGTGCATTTTTTCATGCTAAATCTTATGGTAGGGAGTGAAAGTGCATTTGTCTGAGCTACATCTGATGGTATTTTAGTTTTTTAAACCTAGAAAAAACTGCTGGAGCTTTTATTTACCTATCAAGTCTTCTTTTTTTTTTTTCATACTTAATTTTGTCAAAAGGCTTTTCTGGTTTGTTTGAAAAATGTGAAATTCATTATTCACTTATTTGCATTCTCTATGATTTTTTGGGCATATGATCTGACATATGAAGCATCTAGTACTTCTGTGTGAGAGCTTGATGTTACTATTAAATATAACAAAACATTAGTACAACATAGTTATGCATGTCACGACGGTTTTAGTGGCTGCTTGTGCCATCTCAATGATATGGTTATTAATTAAAGGGTGCTGCACTTGATGCAGGAGACTCAGCTTATACCATATAGAAGAAATATGCAGGATCTCCTTTGTGATTCAAGTATTCTTTCTTTTTTACTGTTTAAATTCTTGTATTTCTTTTAGAGATTATTATTCTCTTTTGTTTTTAATGATCCACGATGCAATGCCAGGCATGATTCCTTACCCAGAACCTTATCAGAATATGTACCAGCAACGCCGATTAGGTGCTCTGGGTATTGAGTGGCGTCCACCCTCAGTGAAATTTGCAGTTGGCCCAACTTACAATGCCCACACTGGTGACTACCAGATACTTCCCATAGTGGATCTGGACAGGTTGATTGATCCTTTACCAGAATTTGCTGATTTCATTGATTGGGAACCTGAAAATGAATTGCAGAGTGAGGATACTGATTCTGAATATAATGCTACTGATGAATATTCGAGTGAAGGGGAACATGCAAGTTTGAGTGGTAGTTCCACTGGAGAGGCTGAGTATAGTGCTGCTGACAGTGATGTTAATCATGTTAACATGGAAGGCCTTAGAAGATCAAAAAGGAAGAAGTTGACATCCGAGGTAGATGGCTGCCCCTAGTTTTGATTTTGTTTTGTTTGTTCTTCCATAAATGCTTCTTGTTATATGTGGCAGGTCGAGATTACCACTTCTTCTGGGAGGCGTGTGAAACGAAGAAATTTGGATGAGCAAGATGGCGCTATTGCATCAAAGGTAACCAAAGTACGTCCATCAAGAAATGGAAGAATAGCTGCTAGAAAAAAGAAATCAAAATTGAAATCATTACGACCTCAAAGACGTGCTGCGCGCAATGCTCTCAGTCTGTTTTCTCAAATATCTGATGAAGAAGATGAAGATGAATTAGAGTGCAGCTCCTCAGAAAGTGAATCATTGCTTCCTGATTCAAACAGTCAAAGCAATGAATCTGAAAGTTCATTGAGGGGCAGACAGATGCAACATGGAAAAGCGTCTGAAACTTCTAAAGAGAAGCATGATGATACTCTGAAACCTTCTATGGTGACTGGCAATCAGGTGGGTAATGGGAGCAAGAGGAGGCTGGTATTGAAGTTGAAGGCATCTAATTTTTCGGGTATGGCTAGGTTGGAATGCCGGGAACAGGGTACAGTAATGGGGTCACCTGTCAAAGTTAATTCTGATTCTAGTAACTTAAACCAACCTCATTCTGGAGCAGGTGAAACAGCAAATTCCAATGCTGGAAGATCAGAAAGTTTCATATCCCAGTATGGTAGTGGTTGTAGAATCAGAGATAAAGGGAAAATGGATATGTCAGAACGGGTCAAGAATTTATTCGGTCACAAAACTACAATGAAATGGGGTGAAGTAAAGCAGCGCTCTAGTAAACGTATGAGGCTGCACGACCCTTCAACTTCTGAAGTTCGTCCTAAGATTATTGACAGTGGTAGTAATGGCAATCTAAACTGGGAGATTGACTGCGGAACAACCTCAAATTTTGAAAATCAAAATATTCCAGAATGTTTAGATATGGTGGGCAATGAAATTAAGGAACATTTTGAAAATGGTGCCCCACAAGCATTGGATAGTGGAAGAGGTTATTATCTTCCTTCTTTGCAAATTTTTAAGCATTCTTCAAATGCTTCCCAGCAAGATCAGGTTACACTGCCATTAACCTTGAGTAGAAATAGAACAGAAACTCAGGATGATGTGCTCAATGCGTATGAAGAAAGGCCTATGGCTAGTGAACATAGGGCTGTTGACGACCCTTTAAATAGTTCTGAAGTGGCTAGTGATAAACATACTTCTTCATCAGACCATAATTATGATGCTTGTAATTCTCAGGGACGGAAGAAAGTTGCTCAGTCTGTATTTCCAAAGCTAAGGATCAAAACAAATGGATTCAATAAGGAAACATACAAGCTGAAATCTGTTAGCAGGGAAGATTGGAGAACCTCTGACGGTGATTTTATTTCCAATAGTGAAGTACCAATTAAAAGAAATCTCATGTCAGTGGTGCCTGAAGAGGAGGGCACTACTGGAGATAGTGCGGAACATAGTGACTGGAACAATGGATCTGACAGCTTGGAAATCTTGACAAATAAATCTTCGAGTAGGAAGTACAGTACTGTTTACAGAAGGTCAAGGTCATTTAGGGGCAGGAAGAATTCTAATGGTGAAATGAATGCTGTGGAAGAAAGCACATCAAATTCCTACAACCATCGTGGAAATAGTGATGCTTTGGCTGAAGGTGGCCAAGAAAGGAGATCTACTGGCTTGATGGCTAGTAGTGATGATTTTGGTTCTGTAAATGCGTACAAATTCAGGGGAAACTTTTCCTCAACTTTGCCAGATGGAAGGAAATCGACATCAAAACCTACGGTTTGTATAAGATCTTTTAGAAGCAGACGAGAAAGTCATAACACTGGCCTCAGACCTATTGAAAAAAGAAGATACCAGCAAGTGCCAAAGAAATTTTCTTGGTTGATGTTGTTGGAGCATGAGGAAGCATATAGATTTGTACCTCAAAAAGGAGACGAAGTTGCATATTTGAGACAGGTAATAATCTTCACCTGGCCCTACTATACCGCTCTTCGTTTCAGTCATTCTTGCTAATCCAAAATTCTTAATTATTAGGCTTGTATCTGTACAGGGTCATGAGGAATACCTTGAAGAGCATCGGTTACAGGAGGGGGGGCCTTGGAGACTTGTAGAAGGAACCCTAAAAGCTGTGGAGTTCTGTAAAGTCAAGGGCCTTGATTATGCAACTGTTTCTGGATCTGGGGAAAGCTGCTGCAAGCTTACTCTCGAGTTTATTGATCCAAATTCTGTTGGTTTTGGTAAAACATTCAGATTGACTTTGCCTGAACTCGAAACTTTTCCAGACTTTCTTGTCGAAACAACAAGATATATCGCTGCCACCACTAGAAACTGGACACACCGTGACAAATGTCAAGTATGGTGGAAGAATGAAGATGGTGATGGAGGAAGTTGGTGGGAAGGTAGAATATTGGCTGTTAAACCTAAATCTACTGAATTTCCTGATAGCCCATGGGAGAGATATGTAATCCAGTACAAAAATGATTCTGGTCAACATTTGCATAGCCCATGGGAACTCTACGATACTGATAGCCAGTGGGATCATCCACGAATTGATGAGCGGACCAGAAATAAGTTGTTATCCTCTCTTGATAAGATAGAACAAACATCAATTAGAAATCAGGTTCATCTTCTGAAATCATCAAAATTTACTTCTTTCCTCTTCTTACTATTTTGGTTCCTCTTTTCCTAACCATAAATTTTCTCATTCCTGTCAATATTTCAGGATTACCATGGCATTCAAAAACTGAGTCAGGTGTCGCAGAAGTCCGAATTCTTAAACAGGTAATGCTCTTTTCATACAAAGTGTGACTTAGGCTTCGTTTGGGATGACTTTTTCACTGCTTCTTGAAGCATCTTTTTAGTTAAAAATTTTAATTTTTTTTACTAAAAAGTTGCTTCAACAACAACAACAACAACATCAAGCCTTTGTCCCACTACGTGGGGTCTGCTACATGAATCCTTTTTCGCCATTGTGTCTTGTTAGAAGTCAAATTCTCATTTAAATCTAATAAAGAAAGATCATTTCTAATGTTTTTGAACCAAATCTTTTGAGGTCTACCTCTACCTTTCTTAACATAAGACAAATCTAAAACCTCAACTTTCATAACCGGATCATCGGAAGGAGCTATTATTCTGTACGGACGCCGGACGGGAGAACTGTCCGGTTAAGCGCTGGGTACCCAGCGGTACCGAGGGGCACACAATGCGGGTACCGAGCTAGGTACCCAGCAATGGGGGTGACATGGCGCATTTTTATTGGTCTCCGGACGCTCTCCGGACTCTGCATAGAATAATAAATCCATCGGAAGGCCTCCGTTTAATGTGAAAAAGTTGCTTCAATAAGCAATAAAAAAGTCATCCCAAACGAAGTCTCGGTCATTTTTCCCTATTCTCTTCTTATTTATCTGCATCAGAAAGTTGACGACGATCATGAAAATTATAAAACTTATATTAAATCATAGAATTCCGAGCAAAAGTCATGCAACCTGAACTAGTTTAGTGCAGGTTTCCTGTCCCATTATCCCTCGAGGTGATAAGGAGAAGGCTAGAAAACAACTACTACCGCACTGTGGAGGCCGTGAAGCATGATGCCTCTGTAATGGTTTCCAACGCTGAAGCTTACTTTGCGAGGAGTGTGGAGATGTCCACTAAGATAAGGCGTCTAGCAGATTGGGTCCAACGCATCTTTGCTTCTTTGTAGGGAATGGAACAATTTTGTAGAAGGTAACAATTCATATATGAGAGAGGCTTCGCACCACTTGATTACTTGTAGATAGATATCCTTCTCCTTCACTAACTTCAAAGTTTCTTCTCTTGTTTGGCAATCTTTTACCCATTGATCCAAAAAAAATTTTTTTTTGAGGGGATTTAGGGTTTTCTTGTGGGGCTTCTTTTTAGAGGGCTCTGCTAGAAAATAGAGTTCAGGTGCAGGAAGCAAGAGGTGCTGGTGGTGGGTTTCAAAGTTTTAACCCTCAGAATTCTTTCAATGTATAGACACTCACTTCCATCAATTGAATAATTCAAAAGGGAAAAAAAATAGAGTAGAGTAGTGGTCTGTCTATTACAGATTTATGTACATTCTTTTTTTGTAATTGCTTATTTTATATTGTTTTCCCTATTGCAGTTTTGATTTAACAATGTAGATTTTTTGTTTTTAGTGATGAGAATGTCAAGTGATTGGATGGTAAGGAAGTTAATGTCACTTGTATTTCCGCTGCTTTTGGTAAGTAGTATATGATTGAGATTTTGTTTGAAATAATTTTTTTTTATTACTTTTTAAAGCAGTTTTTTATTATAAAAATTAAAATTTTTATATTAAAAATCTGCTTTAAGAAGTAAGAAAGTCATCTCAAACGAGAGATTACTTTGTGCGGATATCGGACAGTTCGAAGATCAATCAGAACTTTGCCACGTCATTCAGTACTGTGCACCGATGCCGAGCAAAAAATGATGTGGTGCGTTCTGGTTGATCTCCAGATGTCGTCTGGGTCTGCACAATAATTTTCAAAAACAAAGCCTAAAGCAGGTTTGCATATTACAATTTTTTTTTTTTTTTTTTCGGAGTAGTCCATGTGAACAGTGTAATGAAGCTTTTGAGCAGAATTTTCATGGATGTTGTAATTTGAATATTTTAATTTTAATTTTAATTTTTTTTTTTACCGCCAGTATTCAACTGGCAAAATTTGAATATTTTAAATTGACCCAAAGGAGGATTGGATTTTTCCTATAATCGTATACGCTCGTTCTGAGTCCCGACAAGATAGGATTTCTGTCTGTTTTCGAATCTTCTCTTCTTTGTTGTAACTATGCTTTTTACTCTTTCATCTTACCCTTTTTTTTGGCCAAGTTCTTTTTTGATTCAATTTTGTAATCCTTCTTTTAATAGAATGGGCTAAGCCCTTAATTTTTCCCCCAAAAAAAAAAATCCGTTTTTTATGGCAATATTTTAATTTTAATTTATTTTTTTTTTTAACGCCAGTATTCAACTGGCAAATTTGAATATTTTAAATTGACATCTATGAAATGGCCTCATTAGGGTTGGACATTGACTTTAAAGTCAAATGAAGATTGGGGATGAATATGTTGAAAGTTGACAAGACAAGGGATGGTTAAAGGAATGGGTCTTCATCAAAATGGCTTAAAATTATATAATATTTATAGTTATGTTTATATATTTAATAAATTAAAAATTAATTTTGAGTCATCTTAAAATTGAGTAAGTCTAATTTGTGTTGAGTTGAAAGGGTTGTTTGGCTAGATGAAAAAAAATACAAAGCATTTCAAAAGTTAGGAGTTTTAAATTTTGAGTGTATTAGTGTTTATTTTTTATTGCCTAATTTATTTTTTATGTATTACAAATTTGCCTTTTTAAATTATATTTGGGTCCATTGGTGTTTGAATGACAGTATCTCCTCTATGTTCGCTAGTCTTGTTCCCTTTATGCCTGTTGGATTGGATACTACTCTTGCGAACTGGATTTTTGGAGACTCTTGGTCACTTTCTCTCTCCCTCAGTCCAAGCCTTAAAGACATTATTTATTCTATCCCTATTGCCCACATCAGCCCTTTTCATATTACCTGGGATACTAATGAAAATGCATCTTTCATGGATTTTTACAATGAGCATTTTACTTCTGAACCTGTTATTGACCGGTTTTCTTTGGTTTGGCACAAAAACCATTCCATAAGATTTTTTGCCTTTGCCATGGCTATCATGAGAATACTTCTCACCTTTTGTTCGAGTGTGATTTCTCCTTTCAAGTCATAAATAAACTCATTCCCCAATTTAACAACTTCTACTTAAGACCCAACATTGCCCAAGCTCTATATTTTATTGATGGTTTGTCATCAATCGGGAAACAAAGCATGCGAGCCTTCTCATTTTTCATGTTGCTATCTATTTCATCTGGAACGAACGAAATTCTAGAAAATTTAATGGCATTGCTGCATGTGTCACCACTTTAACGAAGAAAATCTCAAGGGCTATTTACCATAAGTTAGAAAAGTGAAAAAGGGGGAAACTTATAAAGCAAAAGTTGCATGTCTTATTGATGACTACTAATGAGCTATAATCTGGTTGGCTGTTTTGCATTGGTATTTTTGTCACCTGTTTGGATTTACGGTTGGAACCCTGCTGGGTTACTTTCTAGTTGTCTTGTGTCTGCTCACCTAGAACGTGTTTTTGGTATGGCTGGACCTCGTGTTTTGTTATCCCCTCACGGCTGGGATTATTTTTTGTTTTTCACAAGGCTTGGTGATAATCGTTTTGAGGTTTTCTAGCGGCATGCCCATGTTGCCCGACCTACTGTTAGCCGGATTGTTCATTTTAGCAGCACTTTTGCTTGTTGGTATGCTTTGGCATGCTATATTTTGACTCGATTGATGCAACCGGCTCAATTTTTTGCCAGGCTTTTTTTGGGTCGTGGACGATGATGATGCATACACACTCATTTCGGATGGTCTTTGGGCGACCAAAGGAGGATTGGATTTTTCCTATAATCGTATACGCTCGTTCTGAGTCCCGACAAGATAGGATTTCTGTCTGTTTTCGAATCTTCTCTTCTTTGTTGTAACTATGCTTTTTACTCTTTCATCTTACCCTTTTTTTTGGCCAAGTTCTTTTTTGATTCAATTTTGTAATCCTTCTTTTAATAGAATGGGCTAAGCCCTTAATTTTTCCCCCAAAAAAAAAAATCCGTTTTTTATGGCAATATTTTAATTTTAATTTATTTTTTTTTTTAACGCCAGTATTCAACCGGCAAATTTGAATATTTTAAATTGACATCTATGAAATGGCCTCATTAGGGTTGGACATTGACCTTACAGTCAAATGAAGATTGGGGATGAATATGTTGAAAGTTGACAAGACAAGGGATGGTTAAAGGAATGGGTCTTCATCAAAATGGCTTAAAACTATATAATATTTATAGTTATGTTTATATATTTAATAAATTAAAAATTAATTTTGAGTCATCTTAAAATTGAGTAAGTCTAATTTGTGTTGAATTGAAAGGATTGTTTGGCTAGATGGAAAAGAAATACAAAGCATTTCAAATGTTAGGAGTTTTAAATTGTGAGTGTATTAGTGCTTATTTTTTATTGCCTAATTTATTTTTTATGTATCGCAAATTTGCCTTTTTAAATTATATTTGGGTCCATTAGTGTTTGAATGACAGTATCTCCTCTATGTTCTCTGTTCTTGTTCCTTTTATGCCTGCAGGATTGAATACTACTCTTGCGAACTGGATTTTTGAAGACTCTTGGTCACTTCCTCTCTCCCTCAGTCCAAGCCTTAAAGACCTTATTTATTCTATCCCTATTGCCCACATCAGCCCTTTTCATATTACCTGGGATACTAATGAAAATGCATCATTCAAGGATTTTTACAATGAGCATTTTACTTTTGAATCGGTTATTGACTGGTTTTCTTTGGTTTGGCACAAAAACCATTCCATAAGATTTTCTGCTTTTACTTGGATTGCTATTTCTAGTGGACTCAAAATTGCTGAAGCTCTACAATATAGAAACATTGACATTGGGGATATTTCCTATACTCTTTGCCATGGCTATCATGAGAATACTTCTCACCTTTTGTTCGAGTGCGATTACTCCTTTCAAGTCATAAGTAAACTCATTCCCCAATTTAATAACTTCTACTTAAGACCCAACATTGCCCAAGCTCTATATTTTATTGATGGTTTGTCCATCAATCGGGAAACAAAGCATGGGACCCTTCTCATTTTTCATGTTGCGTTCATCTGGAACGAACGAAATAATAGGAAATTTAATGGCATTGCTGCCTATGTCACCACTTTAACGAAGAAAATCTCAAGGACTATTTACTTTAAGTTGGATAAGTGGAAAAGTGGGAAACTTATAAAGCAAAAGTTGCATTTGTCTTATTGATGACTACTATTCTTCGTCTGATGGGCTATAATCTGGTTGGCTGTTTTGCCTTGGTATTTTTGTCACCTGTTTGGATTTACAATTGGAACCTTGCTGGGTTACTTTCTAGTTGTCCTGTGTCTGCTCACCCAGAACGTGTTTTTGGTCTCGCCGGACCTCGGGTTTTGTTATCCCCTCACTGCTGGGATCATTTTTGGTTGTTCATGAGGCTTGGTGATAATCGTTTTGAGGTTTTCTGGCAGCATGCCCATGTTGCCCGACCTGCTGTTAGCCGGATTGTTCATTTTAGCAGCACTTTTGCTAGTTGGTATGCTTTGGCATGCTATATTTTGACTCAATTGATGCAATTGGCTCAATTTTTTGTTAGGCTTTTTTTGGGTTGTGGACGATGATGATGCCTACACACTCATTTCAGATGGTATTTGGGCAACCAAAGGAGGATTGGATTTTTCCTATAATTGTATAGCTGAGTCCCGGCCTGACAGGATTTCTGACTATTTTTGGATCTTCTCTTCTTTGTTGTAACTATGCTTTTTACTCTTTCATTTAGCCTTTTTTTGTTGGCCAAGTTTTTTTTTTATTCAATTTTGTAATCATTCTTCTTTTAATAGAATGGGCTAAGCCCTTAATTTTTTCCCAAAAAAAAAAATTATAGTTTTTTTATGGCAAGTTGACTGCAATGTCATCGTCGTCTATAGTAGTTGCAATTGCTGATTGTAGCAAGTTACTACCAACGACACGGGTTGTCGTTGGCTTTGCCGCCCATCATTACCTGTTGTCGTCACTTTCGTCTGTCATCATCATTATCTGATTTTATATTTCATTTAATTTAAATCAAGTTATTTTACATTCATCTAATTTTTTAATATTCCTTTTTTTTCCAGCAAACTAAATAGCTCTAAACTCTTTTTTTAATTATTATTATTTTGAATTGAACATGACTAGCTCGAACTCAATTTAGTATCAACTTCATGCTCTCCTGATGGCGCAAAATTATTATGTGCGGCTGTTGACCTCATTTTTGTACGAGATCACTTGGACCAATCCTGACCCCAAATCAATCTGATCTCCAAATAAATTCAAACTCTAGGATCCTCATTGAATCCTGACCTTAGGATCTATTCTAGATCCTAGGATTCTTCTAGACTTCAGACCTTAAAATCTACTCTAGACCTTAAGACCCTTCTAGAAGTCAGACTTTAGGATCTACCTAGATCATGAATCAATCCGGACATTTAATCAATCAAATCCAAAACCCAATCCAAATCCAGAATTTGAAACCA